TTGGTCAAATGATCGGTTTCACTTGTCTCTGACGAGTTGTAATATGGTGCTACGAATGGCAAAATCATTGACTATGCCGGTGAAACGTCTGGGAATGTACCTCGTCCACTGTCCGACTTAGGAAATGATTATGCATACAATGGACTCCGGACAAGGTGCCTTCCTCTAGGTCTTACTACCAATAAAACCAAGCTGTGAAAACAAGGTCAAACCACTTCTATGAAGGATATACTATTTTCCAAACAGATTTTTAATAAACAAATTGCGCAATCATGCCATAAGTAGGAATAAGTATACCGTAAATATGAAGACAAAGATGGCGTGGCCTTCTGTTTGGTCGCAGTCTCCTTAAGCTTTATAGTGTTGGTTTCACCTTGTTTTAGCAACTTAGTTGGAGCGTAAGGGAGACCTTGTGGGACTTACTTAGTCCCGTGTCCTCTGCTATAGTATTCGTGATTTTCAGCGGTGGACCATTGGCTGGGTACATTCCCAACGTTTCGCCGATATCGTCAGTGAGAGGCGCCATCTTAAGCAAAGAATTACAATGTATCAGTGGCAAGTTCCTTTGGGAATGTACTCAGCCAATGGTCCAATGCTGGAAATCACGAATACTATGGCAGAGGACACGGGACTAGGTACATTCAACAAGGTCTCCCCGATGCTCCGAACAAGGTCGAACCAACAGGAACAAATATAATCAATGTTGAAAATGGCGTAAAAGAAGACATATTATAGCTTATTAGTATTTAGTTAGTTTAAATCCGCCTGGAATTGTTGATGATAAAATAAACACCCTGAATAGGAAAGCTTTTTGGGAAGAACAACTAATTGAAATTTAATGGGATACAGAGACCTTTATTTACTGGATTCTGGTAAAATCAACTATAAAGCCTTCCATCATATTAAGCGACTAAAGATGAATAATTCTTATAAAAAAAGAAGTATTATAGGTTAGAAGTACATCATTTGGAGTCGCAATAGATTAGAGTTGTCCTTAAGCAGTTAATTACTGTAAAAACAAACATAATTAATTAATTATGGGTAAGATCGTTATCAGTTCAGACCACACGGAACTCCATTAAATAATAAGATACTTAACTCCTCTTTAAAGGGGTTTGGTTGGCTTAAGATCAAATGGATAAAAAACGACTACTACTGACATCAGGCAATAAACACGTGGAAATTAGAAAAATTAAACAAAATAATCATAACACATAATATAACCTGCTCATCTGGATACTTGTAAACCCGCATAGCGTGCTTCTGGAAGACGTTAATAGTCACCCAATTGACTAGGCTGGTGAGCAGCGCCTGAGGCGAAAGGTTGGAAATATACGAAGCCATGGGTCCTACTTTAGTCGAGCGCCCCAAATTCGGTCCGGTCAAGCCGAAAAGTCTTTCTGCTTCTGTTGCTTCCATGACTGCAGCATCTGTATCCTTCCAGCCAGTGGAAGGAATTGAGATTGGCTGTGTTGTAGAAATATGGGGAGCCAGGGCAGTGATAAAGTTAAGAAAGGCTCGCGTGATGGGATATTCCTCGGCACGGACTTCAAGCTCTTCCATTTCAGTCTGTATGAAAAATACAATTTTGTGAATAGGTCGAATAAACAAGATAGATTCAAAGAGAGGAGCATGATAGTTTTTTAAAGGCATGCATTAGATCATGAATCCTAAAGTATTTTACAGATGAATACGATTTAGAGAACGATTTTGCGCATAAAAATACTTAGCAGAATAAAATTACCCACGCCTATGACATAAAATAGGCATAAATTGATGTGGTAAAGGTTTACTGTAATGTGTAATGATAAAGTGAATTTTTTACCCGTCACCCATAAAGGCTTTTATAATATAAGAGAGGAATTCTGGCAAGAGATGCAACGAAAAACTCTGTAGACATTTAATGTCTATTACCAGTCGAAGATAAAAAGAATAAATGCCTTGCATTACACATATAGGACACAATTTTTAGAGTTAAAACTAATCTCCTTATAAATAAATGAAAAAGTGCGTTGAGCAGACCAAA